TCTATACAGGTGGTCGTCCTATACATGTGGCTCCACCGTATCCCCACCATCCACGGGAAGCTGTGAACGCTGTGAACAGACAGGTGGTCGTTCTATACAGGTGGTCGTCCTATACATGTGGCTACACCGTATCACCACCATCCACGGGAAGCTGTGAACGCTGGGAACAGACAGGTGGCCGTTCTATACAGGTGGATCCACCGTATCCCCACCATCCACGGAAAGCTGTTAACGCTGTGAACAGACAGGTGGTCGTTCTATATAGGTGGCTACACCGTATCTCCACCATCCACGGAAAGCTNCGCTGAAGGACAACTTTGGTACATAAAAAACACTAGTACGTTAGATTGGGCGTGGTTTGTGGTAGCGTATCTCATAATACAAACTAAACTATGTTTGTTGCCACGTTTAGAGCGACTGCAAGTCTAATATTAATAAAGTAATATTATTATTAAATTATTATTCATTAATCATTATGTATTCTTTGTGATGTAAATCACTCACTGATTCAGTGATTGATCTACAATCTCTATACTATAATCTAGATACACTAATGTAACCCAACAAGAGTAGGGGTAGAACCTAGCTCTAGTACTATAGCCTGCGGATCGCTGCGCAGGTCTACTAGCACATCTGCATATGCTCAATCTAAGAAATGGTCAACTGATGTGACCAAAAAATTTTCCACAAAACGTAAAAATGATCGGGACTTTTTAACACTTACCGGTATCTATGCAACATGGACACTCTCACCTATCTTTTTGAACCCGTTCCACAACTTTACCACAGGTATTTATGCTGTTCATTCCTCAAAGTCAGCACTTATTGAAATTACATTTCAAATGCATGTGGCGTGCGCCACGGCGTAAAAGTCACCGGATTATGTTGCTAAATACGCCAAGCAGCCTATGTGCACTCGTATTAATAAACAAGGGGGTTCCCTGCTTGTGCTCCCGATTGTGCGCACATTGGCGGCATGCAGCGGCGAGTTTTACCCACCGCACCGTTAATAATACATGCACCCTTTCACGACACAATAGCTGCTTGGAGTCACATCAGTTGGGACCATTTGCTTAGATTACAGCTATGGCAGAATGTGCTATAGCCCTGCGGCAGCGATCCGCGGGCTATAGTACTAGAGCTAGGGTAGAACCTAGAAATTTATATAATCTGATGCTTTTCTAGGGCCCAATAGTGGCAATACCGCTGAGAGGGTCTATGTCCCCCAGGGTACTGCCGGAACGTACCCTGGTACCAGAGCATATAAATCACGTTAACGTGATTTATATGCTCTGCTGGTACTATCTAATATGCCGGACCGTACCTCGCCTACTCCACTAACGAGTCTAGGGAGTCGCCTACGCCTACTCCCTAACCCTAACCATATTAGATAGTTATCAAGGTACGTTCCGGCAGTAACCTGGGGGACATAGACCCTATGAGCGGCAATACCCTTCCATGGACAAGTGTGGCAGAACTCACTAGGCTAATAATAACATTAGGCTATATATCATAAAACACTTGCCACACATCAGTTTCTGAAATAGATTTTATCACCTTTTATTTTATAAAAATATCATGACAACAAATGTTAAATTGTAAGTTAAGAAAGGTAAATTAAAGGTATAAGAATGTACTTACAAAATATACATTTGGTAATCGTTAATTAGTTGTGGTTATCAAATATGTCTGTACTTTGTTATAAAAGTGGCAGATTGCCACTAGCCATATAATTATAAATTATTTTTTATTAATATCTAAGTTTTTGGCAAACAATAATTTGTGTTATCAGATATTATTTAATGCCGAAAGAAATATATAATCAGGATAATATAATGCCGAAAGAAATTATCTAATGATGTGAGATCAGTATAAAGTAGTTTTTAGTAAAAAAAAAGAAGAGATTTAAGTGAATGTGTCTCGATGTGATGTAATTATATTTGGTTACCCAGGCAAAGAAGAATGCTGTGTTATTTAGTTGCAGTGATGCGCACAGACGATCACACCTTCCACACAGAGTACTTGACACAGGACTGGCACTGGGATGTGGACTCGAAATCAACACATGCCAAATTATCTGATTCGAACCTCTCATGCTACTTCTTCTCAGATCCACTAGCAGACAGTAACAGTTCTGGAGGTAGCATGTTTGTTCCACATTTCCAACTTTCACACGTACTCAATTATTATATAAAGATATAGTGATCAATATAGGATTAGTATATATGCACACATGCAATGTACTTGAACACACACATGTGCTGTGCCAACACATGTACAAGACACTCATGGATGAATAATTTCTAAACCATATCTTCCTCATCTAATATTCAGGAGTATGTGGTTCAAAAGGATTTCACCATGGGGAGCATTACTGGGAGGTGGTGTTCACTGAAGCTCTGCAGGGCAAGACTTTAAGGATTGGTGTCGCAACAGCCAATTCTTACTACCAACTAAGTCATAAGAAATTCTTAGGTAAGCCTGTAATAGTATAGTGTAAAATGCAGTGGTAACATGCAAATTTCCATCAGTCTATCATTTTAACAGCCTGTATTGCGTTTTCAGAAACGACCATACCTATATTCATACCTGTATTGTCTGATTAATAAAAATTATTGCTGTTAGGTTCTGATGGTGAGAGCTGGGGACTGTGTTATAAGGGTACCAGCTGGCACAGGGGTGTAAGCAAGCAATATTGTAATCCATTCTATGAAGCGAACACCGTCATCGGATGTCACCTTAACCTTTACAAAGGTAATTCGCACGTCTATCACCTGAACATCCCGACTTGACACATGGATGTAAATGTATGCGGAATTAAAGCCTCGATATCAACAAGAACGCTACATTGATTAAATGTTACCACCAACAACAGGTGATACTTGATGCATAAGTCAGTCATTTGCAAAGTTTCTAATGCATGCGTTCATGGTCTCGCCAATAATGTCGACACGACACGCTTCCATCTGCAGGCTCGCTGAAACCGTCACTGATGCATTCTTGTTACCAGGCACGCTATCCTTCTACAAGAACGGGATGCTGCTAGGCGTGGCATTCACGGGGCTGGACTCCGCCGCGGGCGACCTCTTTCCCGTCGTCTGCTCCGCCGTGGCCGAGAACGAGTTGGAGCTATGTCATCGCAGCTGCCGCTTCATCTCACTGCAGGAGCAGTGCTGCATGAAGATTCTGAAGTGCTTGCAGTGTAGAGGCAACGCGGGCGAGTTGCCCTTGCCCGCACTGCTAGGGAGGAGGCTGAACGAGATGTGACTAACGTACGGGTGTATGCCACGTAGTTCCTTGTGCGTATGTGCATTTACTGTGATATTTTTCTACGGGAACTTAAAAACGTGCGCTGTGGGAAATTAGTCATCGAAAGACGTGGCTGGTAGAGTGCTGGTGTTTCATCAGATGGAACGTCGCATGGTTACAAATTTTGTAGTGCTTTTCTTGAAGTAGGGAGATATTGATAACACTAGATGGTTCTATTTTACCCGAGTGCTAGAGATTGTTGGGAGTGAGGCTTATCTTGCAATATGACTGGGGGTTGGTATCTCTTCTCCATAGATCTCCATCTTAAATCGTGAACTTGTTTGAAAATGCTGTTGGTAGGATTTTGACCGAGAACGATTCATCACGATTTCGTTTTCATAGTAGTGGCAAGGTTTACATTTAGTTGGGTGGATGTATTTTTGTATGAAATGAATTTTTATAATATATATGTTTAACATTACAACATTTATCTGTATAGCTTGCTATAGTTTATGCATTAATCAGACCTAACTGAGTAAATGTGATTTCTCAGGTGTACATAAAACTAATTAATAAAAACGTGTCAAAAATTAAATACTAACGCTGTCTATAGGTAATAAATTTCTGCTTTTTAGTTCACTGAACAAAGCCACATATGAAGATACTTGGCAAAATCCCAAATATAACTATCTTGTGAACTGTTCCAATACAAAAAAAGCACTGAACATTCAAGAGGAAAATCAAAAATAGTTTATTCAAATTTTGTTCAACAGAAGTATATGCTGTTTGTCCAGGTTTAAAAGCAAATGTCAAAGTTCAAAAGTGAATGCAAAAGTCATATTTACAAGAACGAACGGAATAGACAACTACCACCTATATATCACTGCACAACACTAAAATCAGACGGACGTTATTATTTTTCCTCTGGAAATTCTCTGACAACCACCCTCACAGATTATAAACAACGTGGACATGCATATTTTCCCACAAATGTAAAAAGAAGATACTTCTACGCATATTTACTGCATATTTGCGCAGATTCGTAGTTGACCATGCGTATTGTTACATTCTGTGTCCACATGCTACTCAATTTTTCTTGCTAATACATTCTAGTAAGACCTGTTTTCTTATACCGGTGGTTTCATGCATGAAGCTCTCTCTATATAGAGAGAAAACAGCGACACATTCGTTCTTTCCACATCGCATATTCATTCCAGACAGAATCAAGAAACGAAAATATCCTTTGCATCCTCAGTACTAAAATACGAATCTGGACAGGTATGTAATGTAGAGACACGAATACCTGTAAAGGACTAGAGACACAATTAATGAATGCCAACTGCGGGCAATAGGTATGTACTAGTTTTAAAATTGTATTACGTTGCTACAACTATTCAATAAGCCACGTTAAAGGATCTTGGAGTAAACTGTGCCAGCCTGCCACTACGACCAGCAATAATTCCATAAATGCCAGAATAGCGACAGAGTAATCAATCATACACAGCTGTACCTTTCCAGGTAGCTTCGCTACATCCATCAGTCCATCCCTCCTCACTACTCAACACATTGTACTTTCTCCTCTACTGCATGCTATTCAATAATTAGATTCCTCCATTAATGAGATCGTTACCAAATCTATAAAGTTTACTGGAAGAGAAGCGTATTTGGTATCAATCTAGCATCGCGTGCTATATCACGCGACGTTAATTATCTATGAAGATACTTAACACGTACGTGTAAAAGAATACTGGAAAGGTTCATGGGGAGCAAACTCATGCATCGTCTAACCCCCACAAACATCAAGGTCGAATTCACATAACACATAACAAATAAGCGACGGTCACATATAAATGCCAGCGTAAATGCTGATATAATTTAAATACTGACTCGACACATATGGCACAACATCATCAATGTTTACACATTACCACAGCGAATACAACGTCTAAATTGAAACGAAACATAACCAGCCCTCAAACGGCGGGTCAGCCAGAGTTGATGAGAACGATTAAAAACAACACATTGAAATTCTAAACGCAGGCAGCAGAAGCAATGAAGATGCATGGTGACAGTCTGAAAGTGGAGAGATAAGTAACGTAACACTGATAATGGTAAACCCGGTTTCTTATTCATTACTTTTGATTAATAAAATCACATCCAGTTTATAGATTTTTCCCAATAAAAACGATTCCAAATAGACGTAAGTTGCAAACATTCCCCGATACCTATCCATCCACGCTCAATGAATTAGATGAACGCCGCGTCGCCGATATCTAAAATTTATCGCAGCTGTGAAAAAACTGAATTGACTGAAAACAAAGTATCAACTTCTCTGGCACACCTGCATATCAAAACAAAAAAATAGTACATCGAACCTCAAGCAAAAACACTACGATGACACATTATAAATAACAGCAAGATCCGTAACAACATAATACGCCTCAGCCTCTGCCTCAGAACGGGCCAGTTCTCTGTGAAAGAACATAGCCTCTGAAAACTAGCTCAGCAGAAGGAAGATGCCACTAATTCACACAGATTCCTACTACCAGTATCAAAAATGCTAAACAAACAAATAAACAAAGACAACAAATTACGATAATAGTTCATAGAGACAGCCTCGTGGCCATTCCACGTGGCAAGCATAAAAATATTGCATAAGTAAGACGTCATCACACAGGATATCATTCACAAGCAACTGCAAACGTCGTATGTAGCAGCACCGTTCACTACAACTTGTGTGGCAATTTAACCTACATGTGCGCACATCATATGAAAAAAACACTAAATCTGGCCGGATTGAGTTATTAAGTCTGCTGGTTACATGATATAGGTATTGTCACGATATATTTAAATACACGAACGTTGGATTTCAAGCTTTATTGCGGCAGTAAATGTAATTATGGGTGAATAAGATGGGCGAGGGGGTTTTATGACACGATCATTCTACAAATGCCGCGATAAGACATCTTACAATCTCAACGTGCCTCATCTCTCGGGACAACTTCTACACCCAATCAAATATGATCTGTGACATCTTTACATTCGTAATCGGTAAAATTCCATTCAGTAACTACACCTCATCGACGGAGTTTTATGATCCTTGCTACAATCCTTACGACTGAAGGATGGATCACCAATAATCTTTCAGAAGTAGGGAAGTATCGATCGAATAACGGTAAGATGACATGCGCATATATACACACGCGCTCTGACCTCCAGCTACACGTCGTTGATATCATATATCATTCTACAGTCGCCAACGGGTCCTCTTACCCAATTAGATTTTACTCCATTTACCAAAACTTTGGGAACGTCAGTGTATGCGAGACACGGCAGCAGCTATGTGGGCCGCTGCACATTGATTGTCCTTCTGGAATCATCTATGTCGTTGAGCCACATCTGCGTTTGAGGTTTTTTGCAGAGTTATCTCTGAACAGCCAAGCGTTTCGCATTTCATAAGTCCGACTTCCGTACTTAAATGTACAGTTACGTCCAACATTGTATGTACGTTGGAGTCCAAATAAACTAAAATAAACTAAAACTGCATGATTAGGCCATTAAAGTATGTCTTAATTAGTAATAGACCAGTCTTATGACTCATTGGTTATAGGAACCAAGCAATTGTGCTATGGTTGTTGTAGTACACCTATCGTACGATTATAATATAAACTATTTCTACATCCTGGCATAAATTATATGTACAGACTATTCAAGCACCCAACTGTACAATTCGTAACGTTTGAAAAAAATCGGGCGATCAGTAAGATTATACTACACATTTGTAGTAAGAGGAAAAATATCAAAATGCACCTAAAAGCTTATCATCACTAAAAAAACGTCACAAAGAACAAGGACAAATCAGGCAACTTAACAGAAGATGAAGCCCTTAGTGTCAGCTTCATTCTATTACATAACAACAAGGCTAGCGCCACCAGAATCCAATAACTAAAATATTTACCCAACAAATCAGACAGTGGACACATCGACTGTGGCTCTTCATTGCCTTGAAATTAAGCCAGCAGTTCAGATCACGCTCGTACCTATATTACCGATAATTTCGAAAGTGGTAAAACATTACAAAAGACGCTTTTATCACCGGCTAGGACTAAACGATAACATGTCTTATTACAACTATCGACACTATCCGTGATATACGTTACCACGGCGATTCCCCATCGCTTATTCTCAGACCTGTTACGCCACGGTTTTCTCACGTGACCACGAGCTAGCTCTCTCCTTCTCCCAACCTCGCAGAGGATCTTCCCCACACTCGGCAGACATCACTCTTTGAGATCCCACGTGAGAAGGCTGCCTTCTTTCGCTTACCCCCGTAGATTACATTCTTCCAGCACAACTGTAATGTGCTTGCAGTCCCGCAGTCTCTCCCCTTGCAATCCTCCAAGCCTCGTGGAGAGGTTTACTCACACGACACCAGCTCAGGTCGCAGGCTGATAACGACAATTCAACTCGCACTTTCAAGGAAAGAATGTGTCTGGACACCGTCGCACATACAGCAACGCCATCTGGTGGCGTGAGCGACCGCCATTCTTGTTTGCCAGAAAGATGAAGTTGAATTACCGCGCATCTGAGATCATGTCGGCATGGATATGATGGCCGGGTGACCGATTTGTAGCTGTGGAGACCTAGCAGGTGGCTCTGTCCCTCACAGCCCAGCTGACGTTGAGATCGGAAATCTAGCGTGATCCCTTTTGTTGCAGAACCTAGATAGCACAAATCTCATTAAAGATACGTTCCCATGATCTGGCGGAAAATAAATCTAGAGGAAAGCGAAATAATGATTTTTATATTTCCGTGCCGATTTTGACAGTCGTTTCACCAACATGGTGGATTTAATCGAAATTAACGAAGTCAAGTCAATCGAGTCCGAAGTCAAATACTCCATGATTTACTGTCGGACTCCCTGATTTGACATATGCAGGAGTCCGTGCGACTCCTTGAAAATTCTGCTATACTAACTAGTTCGTTCCGGAGCACGGCCTCTCAGAATTACCGTATTTTTTCAGCAAATATACAAAGACAATTTGGCAGACGTGCAACCGCATGAATCTTCAAAATAAGCACACGCGTTATTGTTAACATCTTTAGTTTTGAATTTCAGACTGCGGACTCCCCCATTTTGCTGCGAACTCCCTCTTTTTCTGGGCAGGGAGTCCACGTCCGTTGGACTGCCTTGTTCAAAAGTTAATTTCTACCTCTGATATCAATTACCTTTCTGTTGTCCTGTGGCTCCCTCATCTCGCCGACGCCATTGGCAGTGTGTGTATATATCGACAACTGCTATCACGAACACATCTGTCTCTGACTGGCAGCTGCGCACTTACTAACGACATACACACGCACGTCTTCATATATATGAGTTATATGAAACTGAACAGAGAAATCAATACGAATGCTTCCGCATATCAAAGCGTAAACCCTACCGAAGCAACGTGCGGAAATCTAATGCATGAAGCTAAACTCATGGTAATGCAGACAAAGATGTACTTTGCCAAAAAAAAAAAAAAAGCACTCTTCGCAGCTAAAGCAGAAAGCATCTAAGGAGAGGAAATTCACCCAGACAACTATAGCTTGCAGAATCTGAAGCGACGTGAAGAATGCGATTGCGTGTGTGGTATATATATATACATCTCTTCATGTAGTTGGTAACAGAACATGACGCTGAAGTGTTATGTTGTGCTTGGTAACAGCATACAGCTGCATGGCTTCTATAGCTGGCTGCACTATAGAGACAAAATCAATTGCGTTTCTATTTTCGTCTGTTTGATATCATGCAGAATAATCGGGCTGTAATTGAGAAACAGGAATACAGCAACAGAGCACCCCAATCAATTATGCGGCCTGCAACCACCAGAGTGGCAGATACATGACAATAGATGTAAGTGCGGTGCGCGCATGCGTGCACACATGTGCGTGCATGCGAGTGCCCGTATGTGAATGTAAGTGCTGGGGTTAACATGCGTGCATGCGTGCACGCATGTGCCGTATGCATATGTTCGTGCGTGCGTGCGTGCGTGCGTGCATGCATGCGTGCGTGTGTGCGTGTATGCACCTGCCAGTGAACGTATATGCGTGCGTGCGTGCGTGCGTGCGTGCGTGCGTGCGTGCGTGCGTGCGTGCGAATGTTAGTGCGAGTAGACATCTGTGTGCATGCCATGTCCGTGCGTGTGTGTTGCGTGTGTGTTGCGTGTGCATTGTATGTGTATAGCAAAACTAGACAGCTTCATCGACCAATATGCCTGCCATTTAAAACCCATTTTAAGTACCTGTCCTCGGTCTAAATTCGTGCTGTCGCACTTCGCACGGAATAATCAATAATTGCAGTGCACACAAGCCCACACAGCCACCACTGCAAATGGCCACTGACCAAACAATTCCAATAATAGTAATCCGAGCAATCGATTATAACGACAGCAAGTAGAAATCATTCTGGAGGGAAACATGGAATATATTTGTGGACGTTGGACTGCCTTGTTCAAAAGTTAATTTCTACCTCTGATATCAATTACCTTTCTGTTGTCCTGTGGCTCCCTCATCTCGCCGACGCCATTGGCCGTTGTCGTGTCACACTCGCGCGAGACGACACACAGGAACTCTGACGAATCCTCGTTGCCATAGTTGTACGTCGACCCGATGTTGACAATCTGTAAACATGCGATAATGCACGAACGGGGAACGCATGCCAAGCATCGTGACGTATAGACTGCATTCTATATGTGGACTGCAATTATTAGTTGTTTGTCATTTTTAGTGTTTTATTGTATTTAACTGTTACTGAATTGAATACTGATTTGATACTGTTGAACTGTTATTGAAGATTACTGGCTATAAATATAAGGATAAAATCTCTCTATCTTCTCCCCCCTCTCTCTTTCTCTCTCTCTCTCTCTCTCTTTCCTGCCTCCTTCCCACCCCCTTTCGCCGATTTGTTTCCTCTCCCTCGCTCGCTGTGTATACCTGTTCGAACTTCCAGCCGTCGGACATTGTAGACACCATCTGTGTGAGTTCGTCCTCCTGGCACTGCAGCACCCGGTATACGTGCTTCCTCCGCTCCTGAAAGACACAACGTCAACGTCAGTGACTTTTGTCAATGAGCATTCTCCCCAATACCTCTGTTTACGCGAGACTCGATTACCCTCATAAAACGCTCAGAATTTTTCCAAGTTTCTAGAAAGTTTCCAAGTTTCTAGAAGGTTTCCAAGTTATTTATAGCACTTTAGGCTCGGATTTTCGACCTCGGTCCGCCTGCAGAGAGAAGGCTGGAGGAAGTCTCGAGTGAGGAGGTAGGACCTGTAGTGAGTCCTGAAATACGTGGTGGGAGGGATAACAGGGAGTTTCACGTAAAGAGGGAGGCAAAGCCAGAGGAAGAGAGAAGGGGGGGGGGGACGTAAAGATAGTGAGAAGTCTCGAGTTGAAGGAGGTGGTAGTCATTAGGTTCCAAGATAATGAGGGGAATAGAATAAGTCCTGAGTGGGTCAGAGGATTGGTATTAGGAGTGCAGAGTGAGGGGGAGGGGGTGGTAGTAGTAGATCAGGAGAAGGATGTGACGCAGCCATGGTGAAAGCCTGTAAGCTCACATCCTACTGTAGACTGAATCAGACCATATAAGGGCGCGCGAATCAATCAGACGACGAGTAGCCGGAGCCGTGGAAATTGATAGGCCTGTTAACACGCAAAATTGCTAGAAGATCCGAGCGGCGCCCTCTGCACATAATTACATGGCTCAGAGATACAACCCTGACGAAAAACCCTGCGCATACATCTCAACCAGAGTTCAATGCAAACCAAATTTTAGAGTGTTATTTTCATGCACGCGAGCTTGAAAAGTAGCCCCCGAAAAATATTTTTTAATTTTTTCCCTGATACATCTACACCGCATGCCCATAAATACGAGTGAACCTGTACATATATTCACACCACACGTTCAGATATACAACACTGACGAGACCTGTGAGTCAGGGTGTTAGCAAGGGAAAAAAATCAGCGAGTCTCACCATCTTGACAATATATTGACACGCAAATAAAAAATATAGTTTTGTTGGAAGAAGGATATGATTTTATTTTCATGCAGGGGTAAAATTGGGCTGCCTCGTGCCGTCTCTATCAAATTTTATCCGTCTCATCCAAGAATAGGCCGTCCAAAAGACGGGTAGACGGGTCTCTGGCTAAAACACTGTTGTGAGTATGTTTAGACCACATGCTCGGAGATACAAGCCTGAGAAATCCTGTACATATTCATACTGCAAGCTCAGATAAACGATAGTTATGAGAGCTGTTCAACTTTTCATACCGTATGTTTTTAGAAACAATGCCGAGCAGCTACTGGTGTTCAATATACCAATATGAAGCGACCACCACGCATTGTCATTATCTATGGTTATTAGCTGTCAAGATCGTTACCACGTTCCGATAATTACACTGATTGCAAGCAAGTCAACTCATCTGCATCGTGCTGGCTTCGTCCCCCCCCCCCCCGTTTGATCCAGGCATCATGAGCAGGGAGCACTGAGGCAGTTTCCTAGATCGGCTAAACGCTGCCGGCAATACGTACGTCGATACCGTACGTTAAAATGATAGTTTGCGATTTAGCCGTTCCAGCACTCCTACTTTTTGCGGACTGGATTTTATGGCGAGTGTGTAACCGTGCAATAGATCCATTGTTTATGGCAATAACCCGCACTTTCTACGTGTTTTCATGAATACATGCATGTAATAGGTGCCCATGGAGGAGCAATTCCACTGTATGAGACAGCGAGAGACACGGGGAAGCTGGGTGCTCCGTGCACGCACGCACGTAGACAAGTACGCGCGACTTTTGACGATATATGCAGCAAAAACGAAGCCAGGGTCACGATGCACAGTACTGACGCGTTACGAGACATCTTTACGACAGCCTAATAGGGCAGAATGTGGGAGTCTTGCAGGAATGAAATCGCACCGAGATGCTTATGACTGCATGCTAGCATTAGCATGCGCTCCACAGGCAAAATCACGACTCACATACAAACAGTAATTCAGAGATTCTTTTTCTTTTGCGTAGTTCTACGCGGTGATACTCCATTAGGAGTGTTCCCAACTTAAATGTCATTAATGGTCATAATATAATAACATATATATATATATATATGGTCATGGTCATATATTAGTTTGTGGTTTTACTGTCATTTAGGTTAGGGTTAGGGTTAGGGTTAGGATTATCAATCATTAATCATTAATCATTAATCATTAATGATATCAAAGTTGGGAACACTCCTAATGGAGCGTTAGCCGTTCTACGACTGCCTACCGGTCGCAGCGTAACATAACGTCCTTACACGCAGTGATACGAAAAGGAGTTACTCATGGTTAGGGTTATATGCAGCATGCTGAGGTTAGATGCATATTATTAGAAGCATGTCTAATTGGACTATAAAATCGTTTCATCTACGCGTTGTTCTGTTATACTCTGGCACAAACTTACATTTTAATTGCATAGCAGCATAAATAATATACAATAATGTGGGCAGAACCTGTGGGAGGTTTTGTTGCCCTCTCAGGAGTCAGGACAATGTATACAAGGCGCCTTGCCCTCACTAGCTGGTGACGACACACTAGCCACGAGGCGAAACCGGCAGATGAAAAGAAGATGTTTCAATCACCATGGTGATTTCCTGCCAACTTCCTCCACCAGCCCTGCTAATATCGGTTTGGCGACTTCGCAAATCGGCCCTTTTCCGCTCTGCTGGGATGGATGCCGGAGCCACATCTACCCTCGTGCTTACCACATACGAAGGGTGTTGCACAAGGGTTACTGTTCTCATACAGGGGACATACATAGTCACTATATTATGATGATCATACTTGAATAAATTTATTCGCTTGAACTCCTCGACATATTAAAGGTGAAGTGCTCTGGATCGCAGCATTCAAACTCATTTCCACCAATCAGGACATGCTATGTTACAGCAGGCAGTGCTGTTCGACTTCCACATTGTTTTCCAGCGTTATAATGACCAGAAACATACCAAACCAAGTATGCGCAGTATAGCAGGATGTAAGTGCTAGTGAAGAAACCCCCTCCCCTTTTCAAAATCAGTTTAAAGCGTTGAATTTTCGCTGCACCACTGAAATCACACTGGCTTTTTGCCCGGGCGCAGAGCCGCGGGTGTATATATGCATGAGGCTTCACTGTAGTTGTATTTCACCATGGCCAGTCAGTCAGGCAAGCTTACGCGACCGTCGTCGCCATCACACGTAATAGCAACACATGTACACGCAGCGTGCGAACATTCACACCTCGTAGCTTTTACACGCCGCCTACCATCTCCCTTGCACCGATTCCATAGCAACTAATTATAAACGCGCACGCACATTTAAACATGGAGAGGCGACGCATAGAACCCGCGCGAACGATATGGCAGTATTGACAGGGCGCTGTTTATTTGTGCTGCATGTCGTAGGGCAGCGCAAAACCGATGAGTGGCAGCAAGGCAGGAGCTAGCTGTAATGCCCAGCTCACTAAGGAGCCAACGCACAATAAATTTACAGTGAACGTCATATCTCACACCTTCCTGGCTTATAATACGAGGCACACGCTTGCCCGCAGGGAGTCATATCTCGGCACTCACGGTCAGCAACCGAAAAAAGGCGCGTAGCCAGGCTTTCCGAGTACTTGGGGGGCGGCAATGCAAAATAAAAGACAGGGGCGTAAATCGCCGTAACGAGAGGGAGTGTAGAGGTGGGGCGGATGATCGGGCAGAAGAAAGTGCTACCTCCACATACCTAGCCATCGAGTCCGTACGGCCCACAATATATTTTTACAACTAGCAACATGGGAATGGAAGACCAGGAGAGAGGGGTGGGGAGCGAAGAGAGGAGGTAGGCAACCCGTGGTAACTGCGGCCGAATCGGCGCACAGCACGAGAGTGAGCGACTATCAACACTGAGTATATGTAGTAGTGACCACACACACAGGCGGATATTCCAGAGCATTTATATAGAAAAGGGGTGTCCAGGAAGGAAATAAACGCTACACTTTTTTTTTGGCTTATCTTTTCTGTGTGGTTTTTGCAAATAATGCGGGGCCGAGCCGCCATCTTAATGTGGGGAGGTTTTTGGGGTGTACTCTCACCGGCCAAAGATTTTTTTAAAAAATTGGTGCATTTCAGAAAGTACGCATCTGAGGCAGTTAGATTATTTCCTATGATGTCTAGAAGCTGAAATAAATTTTAATCAGATCCGTCCCGCCGGTACAACCTGGTCGGATACCCTTGTCGCCCATTTCTAGTCAATTATAACGAATATTACATATATATATCCAAGTGTGCGAAGCTATCTCAGATGCAAGAAAAACTTAGGCGGACTGAACAAAAACACTAAAGATTTTTACGATGTGGACATATTATAATTGAGTAAGTGAGTGTGTGTTGGTGCGTCGCACGCTTGGCAGTGTCACTGTCATCGAACGGTGGTAGTGTGTTAGTGTTGTGATGCAGTGCGTGCCATCGTTGAGTCAGTGCGTGCGTGCGTGCATGCCCTTGCTGTGAGAAGTCTGTGGTATCTGTGTGTGTGGTAGTGATCGTCGGTCAGCTGCGATAGCGTGTCTGTTAGCGTGCGTGCGTGCGTGCCGTGCGTGCGCGCGACCACGCGTCTGCGGTGCGTGCAATTGGGTCCTAAAATGAAAAAATTCAAATTTTTGTTTCCTGTTCTCAATTTTTAGTTGTTGCGCTTTTTTTTGTTGGTAAAGGTCAAAGGGGAGTCACTTAACCGCAACGCAACGGCGCCAGAGCCGCGCTACGCAACGCACGCACGATGTAGGCCGCGCGAGAGACCACCAGCTACGCACAATGCAGCGCATCAGCTAACCTAGCATCTAGGTCACTTGAACTATCACAACACACCAGCAAAACCGTGCCAACACGCATATACACAACAAGTAGGTGAGAACACACTACACGAAAACGACAATCAAGTTCCGAATTTGTGATTGTCACTAGAAATCACCGCACATCACACGCTAGCTGCACGCATGTGGCGACGCCACTGCACGCACGCACGCACTGCACGGCACACAC